CACCACCCAAGAGCTCACCACCACCTCCAGTTTACTCCCCACCGCCGCCTATACAGTCACCTCCCCCACCGCCCAAGAGCTCACCACCACCCGAGAGTTCACCACCACCTCCAGTTGTCTCCCCACCACCGCCCGTCCACTCACCTCCTCCACCACTTCCAGTTTTCTCCCCACCACCGCCTGTACAGTCACCTCCCCCACCACCCAAGATCTCGCCACCACCTCCAGTTTTGTCCCCACCACCGCCTGTCCACTCACCTCCCCCACCACCCAAGAGCTCACCGCCATCACCAGTGTTATCCCCACCACCGCCAGCACAGTCACCTCCACCATCACCTCCAGCTCTCTCTCCACCACCGCCTGTTCACTCACCACCACCACCAGTATCATCTCCTCCACCACCAGCTCCATCACAATCACCACCTCCGGCTGACGACTTCATCCTCCCTCCAATCTTGGGCTTCCAATATGCATCACCACCACCGCCTTTTTTCCCGGGTTACTAAGGAGTAAGCCATTATCGTTTTTGTATATTTTGTCACCCGCACCAATCTTAAAAACCACTAAAGCAACACACTTTGTTAAGATTGTACGTTAAATATACGACCCCAATCAGTTTGTATTGCAATTCACATCAATAAAAATAAATAAAAAATCATTACCAGTCTGATTTCGGGTTGTCCTAATAGTCAATTAATATGTTTCTGCATTCAATAAATAAATAAATATTTATGGCTAAATTTTATTTTATTCCAATTTCAATCATTTTTAACTCTTGTTTGTCTCCCTTTAAAATAAAATTCTTTAATTCTCATATTCATTTTTAACTATACATTCACACAATAAAATATTTTGTACGTAAATAAAAAAAATTCTCCATTTTTAATCACACATTCTCAAAAAAATTATTTTATCAATAATGGCTATCAAACAAGGTTTAAATTCAAATTTTACTATTTTCCGTTGAATTGTTTGATGGCATGGACGTTAATGTCTGAGACTGCTGAATAAGGTTCGGTTAAAAATTTAGCCTGTGTTTAAACATTAATTCCAATCAAATATTTATAATAATTACTAGTCTTATGTCCGTACAATGTACGGATTGTGTTATTTTTAAGATAATATTAGCATGTCAAATGTTAAAGATTTACGAAAGACGTATGAGATGAAGATTGATTAGATTAGAAGGACTGTAGGAAGATTCAACCAATTTTTATTTTGTTTTAATGGTCTTGTGTTAATTTTCAATTAGAAGTTTTTCCATACTGATGTTGGAATGATAAACAAAGTGAGTTGTGAATTTGGTTGTGTTATTTGTATCTGTTTCACCTTAAAATTCTATTTCAAATTTTGATAGTGGCTCCTTTTGTTATTCCTCCCATAGCTCTACATGTGAGAAGGAATTATTGCATAGCAACCCATAGAAAATTTAATTTCTTTCTCATTTGGATTGTTTTGTGTAATTTAGAAGATTATTCTTTATAATTCAAGATGAACATCAAGGTGAACACATAGCTTCAACACCTTCATGATTCTCCATTAATCGATTACGTATAAGATATCCAGATGAGTGTGAGTCGACACTAATTGTTCTTGTTATAGCGGAGCTTCGTGAATCCCAATTGTGCAACAAAACATTTAGCAACCGTCTATAGATTCATTATCCCTTACTTGGAGTCGTGTCTCATGGCCCCAGTGCATCAATTTATGATGATCCAAAATAATCATCCAAAACAAAAGGCATACACACAGTTATAAGAGCTCTAAGTTTATACATAAGACTCAGTAGGTCAAAAAGCAATTGGCATTTCTTACGGATAGAAGAAAAAAATTACTCTAATGGAAGAGAAATCGCCTAATACCAAACAATTAAATTCAAAAACCTGTACCAATTTTGATAATGGTAAAGTCTCCAATGAATCTTCATCACTCTGATT